CACTGGGATAATTTTTGTTCGGTCTCGTGCGTGGTTCTTTTCGCCAAAGGATCAGGGATGCTCCTCGATGGCCCTCGCCAGAAGAAAAAGTGCACACGTCCGAGCGATGCCAAGCACCTGCACCGGGCCTAGCCGGGCTGGCGGTGGGCCCAGGCTCGGGGCGTGCGCGCCCTCCCGGCTCGGGCAGGAAGGCATACACACAGCGAGACTCCTGGGCCCAGGCTCCGCCCGGCCAGGAGAGCGGTGCGAGGTGTGCAGAGCCGGCGCCGTCCCCCCCCCCCCGCCCCCCCTGTGGATCCCCCGCGAGCCCAGGGTCACCGAGGCGGCGCGCTCGGGTTGAACGGCTGGCTGGACGGCAGCCTGAGGGCGCCGCTCTCGAGGGGCCGAACGGATCCGCGAGGAGCCGGGCGGGGCCGGAGGATGGAGGGGCTGGAGGACGGGGGAGCTGGAGGACGGAGGGGGGGGAGGAGGAGCAAGAACGCCTCGGCCACGTAGCCAAAGCCTGAGCAGCGACAAAACAAGGAGGAGGAGCAGGAGCGGAGAGAGAGACGCGAGGGGGGGCGCGCAGGCCCAGCGCAGGCGGAGCCAGAGGATGGCCTGGGGCCCTGGTGCCAGGAGAGCACAGGGCTCGCAGCGCGACACTGGGGGCACACGGGCGGGGAGGTGCGGACGCGTCTCCATCTGCACGGCGCCTGCAGGAGGGCGGCCCTCGTGGGGGACTGGGAGAAGGCAAGAGCAGGCTGGGTGGATTGAGGGAGAGGAGGAGCAGCGGGCAGGCCGCCAGGGAGTGCTTCACGGGCCCGCTCGCGCCCCGATTGCAGGGATGTCTCGGGCGGGTTGTCTATTTGGTGGCCTGGAGTTCTCTGCTCTCAGAACTCTGCACAGTCTGTCAGATGGTGGAGATGTCTCGAGCGAGGTGCTGGCTTCAGCACCCAAGAGGGGACCGCCACAGGGTACTTCACGGGCCAGTTCGCGCCCAGGTCGTGGAGATATCTTAAGCGGCTTGCCTGTTTTGTGGCTTGGACTTCCTGCTTTCAAAACAGACTGTGTGGATGTCTCGCGAGGCGCTGGCTTCAGCACCCCAGCGGGGGCGCCAGAAGGGATCTCAGGGGCCCGTTCGCGCTCAGATTGTGGTGATGTCTCGGGCGGTCTGCCTGTGTGGTGGCGTTGGGCTTTTGAGCTGTCCGAGCAGACTGTGAGGGCGTCTCGAGCGAGGCGCTGGCCTCAGCACCCCAGGCGGCCAGATCGTGGGAATGTGTCGAGCGGCGTGTTCGGTGCTGCGCCTCCGACTCCGGTCCACTCAGGGCCCAATGACCCCTTCGATGTGTGTGTGGGGGGGGGAAGGGCGGCCGCCAGGACGGAGGAGGGAGGACGGACGAGGAAGGAGGACGGACCTCCTCCTCCTCCTCCTCCTCCTCCTCCTCCTCCTCCTCCTCCTCCTCCTCCTCCTCCTCCTCCTCCTCCTCCTCCTCATCCTCCTCCTCCTCCTCTCCCCCCCTCCTCCTCCTCCTCCTCCTCATCCTCCTCCTCCTCCTCCTCCTCCTCCTCCTCCTCCTCCTCCTCCTCCTCCTGAGGAGGGGGAGGCGAGGAGGGAGGACGAGAAGGGAGGGGGCACGAGGAGGAGGAGGAGGGAGGAGAGGGGCGGGGGGGCCTGCTCACCGCCTGCCTGTCCGTGCTCTGTCGCCTTCGCGGTCCCTCCTCGTGGCCGCCGCCAGCGTGGTCGTCGCCCTCGTCGTCCACTCGGGCTCGCCCTGACACCCAGACCCTCACGGCCAGACACCCACAGTGGGACATGCCAAGAAATGCAATGCCCATGCGGGGACCTCCGCGTCGAGCGACTTTCCTGCTGTTGCTTCGTTGGCGAGTTTGACGGGCTGGCCGTTTCGGGCCCTTGCAAACCCAAGGCCGCCCAACATGTCTCCACGAGGGCTCCAAAACAAGGCCCCAAAAAGCTCCAAAACGGCCCAGAAGGCCCCAATACGGCCCAAGAGGGCCAACAAATTCTCCAATGTCCTCCTCCTCCTCCTCCTCCTCCTCCTCCTCCTCCTCCTCCTCCTCCTCCTCTTCCTTGCCCTCATCGTTTTCCTTATCTGCTTCCTCCGCTTAGTCGTCGTCGTGATCGTCGTCTTCTTCCTCCTCCTCCTCCTCCTCCTTTTCCTCCTCCTCATCCTCCTCCTCCTCCTCCTCTTCCTCCTCCTCCTCCTCACTCCATCGCCCCAACGCGGGCCCCAGGGATGGCCTGAAGAGGCCCTCTGAAGCCACCCACTTGGTCCCACAGATTTCTCCGTCCAACCTGGTTGCCCGCTGTGCGTCACTGTATGTGTCTCTTCGTCCCCTTTCCGTCAACTCTCATTGATGGGCAAGGTTTCTGAATGAGCTGGTGGGGATACTTTTTTGATCGCAAGCGCACCGGAGACGCCGGACGCCGCCCGAAAGTCGTAACTGGCGAGCTGCGGCCGAAATTGCGCCAGCAGGAGAGACAAGGGGGGCAACGAGTGGACGGCGGAGGGAGGAACAAGCAGGAGGCGGGCCTCGCTGCCGCCGCTCAGAGGTGGCTGGCGAGGGTGCGCGAAGCGCGACGACAATATACGCGCTGCAAGCATTCATCCCCCTAGGAGTCCCCTCGGTCGGTCCCGCAGGGCCTCAGTGCGTCCCCGACAGGACCAGGCGAGAGCCCAGGCCGGGCCGAGAACGCCCAGGTGACGGCAAGAGGCCGCCCCGAGTGGGGAGCCCAGGACTCGACCGGGCGACCACGGGATCGTTCGCGGAGCCTCTTGGAAGGAATTCGGTAGAGACTCTGCGCCCGAAGCCCCCCCCCAAAGGCACCAAAGATAAATCCCAGAAGAGTTTCCAGGAAAGGACTCACCAAGATGCAACGCCACCGCCATGCCACTTGACAACATCGTAGCACTGCTTCCTGGACACGCCCGAACCCATCCTGGAGAGCTCCTTACATCAGAACTGCCTTCCGATGCTGCTATATGCCGCAATCGACGGGATACTGGCACGGTTCGCATTGACTCAATCAGGAGAAGCCTCCAATAAGAGGTGCCAGCAGCAGGATTGACGCTATTTCAGCCGCTGCGCCAAGACCTGGCACACCTTCCAGAAGCTTGGGGCATTGAACTGACAAGGACTCGAGCTGGTAAAGCTCTGCATGCTTGCAGCATCGATGCGTTGAGAAACGCCGACAAGGATAACTCGATGTTTTGTTCACTGGCCCCTTCTGGAGAAGCCTACGAATAGAGGTGTCAGAATCAAGTTTGCCATCACTAATGTCTCTTTCGCAAGGCGAAAACTATACAGGCCTCGGATAGGGTTGGAGAACACATCGCAACTTGACAACCGTTCCATTACAGCAGCATGGATGGATTGAGCGGCTCAGACAGGGATAACTTGATAACTTGATGTTTCGCATCGGCACCTTCAAAAGAAGCCTCCGATTAGAGGTGTCAAATAAAGGCTTGTCATCACTGCAACATGTGCGCCAATATCGTGGTGTTCTCTAACGCAGCCCGGCCTTCGTATTGACACGAATTCGATTACGAAATCTCTACGTTCTTTGCGGCAGATGCGTCGAAAGGCTCAGGAAAGGATAACTTGCTGGTTCGCACCGGCTCGTCCAGGACAAGCCTCCGATTAGAGGTGTCAGAAACAAGATTGTCATTATCTCTGTGCCAAGATTCGTGGCACCTTCAACAAACCCAGGACTTCGAACTGACACGAGCTCCATCGCGAAATCTCTGCGTTCATTGCGGCAGCACCGTCGAAGAGGCTCAGGCAGGGATAACTTGATGTTTCGCATTGGTTCCTTTTAGAGAAGCCTCCGATTAGAGGTGTCAGAAGCAAGATTGTCATCACCGTAGTCTCTGTCGCAGGCGACACCTCGAAAGGTCTGGGATACGGTTGGAGAGCACAACTCCCACGAAGCCATGCTTTTTGTTTTGCACCCGCACCCTGAAAAGGCCGAAGCCTCCCAACGCCACAGGCGCTTTCTTGGTGAAGAGTCGCAGCCCAATGCGCCAAAAGTGAAGCACAGGCGCCACAGGCGCTCACTTGAAAGCCATCCTGACCCCGCCGTCCGTACATTCGCAGCTAACGGATGGGGCGAGCGAGAGCATATGGTCGGCAAGCTCCTTGGGCGTGAGTACATGCCTTCTGGCCTTGAAAACACGGCGTAGCAGTTGGATTAGATTGTGAAAACACTGGGTTCACTGAGCAGCTCAGACAGGGATAACTTGATGTTTCGCATCGGCTCCTTCAGAAGAAGCCTCCGATTAGAGGTGTCAGAAACAAGCTTATCATCATTGCAGTCTCTGGGCCAATATTCTGCCCGCTTTCCACGAACTTGGGACTACGAATTGGCACGAACTCGAGCACGAAATCTCCCCGTTCTTTGCGGCAGATGCGTCGCGAGGCTCAGACAGGGATAACTGAATGTTTCGCATCGGCTTCTGCTGGAGAAGCCTCCGATTAGAGGTGTCAGATACAGGCTTGTCATCACTGCAGTCTCTGTCGCAAGGTGATACCTGAACAGGTCTGGGATGGGGTTGGAGAACACAGTGCAACTCCACAGCCATGCAATGACAGCGCAATGGCTTTACAGAGCAGCTCAGACAGGGATAACTTTATGTTTCGCATCGGCTCCTTCAGAAGAAGCCTCCGATTAGAGGTGTCAGAAGCAAGATTGTCATCATTGCTACTTCTGCGCCAAAATGCTGCGCACCTCGACGAACTTGGGACTACGAGTTTGTACAAATCCAATCACAAGATCTGGTCGAGAGAAGAAATTAAGTAACACTCCCTCCTCCCCCGCAATTCAAAGCTGGCACGATCCTTGAAGACCACTCATAGGCCCAAAATGGGAAGATCATAAACCAACCTTGCATTTGGTAGGAGGGGGGGAGGGTTCAAACCATATGGTCTGCAAAAACGTTGCTTAATTGTTTCCAACACCTGTCTCTCCGTTCTTTGCGGGAGGTGCGTCGTGAGGCTCAGACAGGGATAACTTGAAGTTTCGTATCGGCTCCTTCGGGAGAAGCCTCCGATTAGTGCAGTCTCTGTCGCAAGGCGAAACCTCGACAGGTCCAGGATAGGGTTGGAGAGCACAGCGCAACTGGACAACCAATACATTACAGCAGCATGGATGGATTGAGCAGCTCAGACAGGGATAACTTGATGTTTCGCATCGGCTCCTTCAGAAGAAGCCTCCGATTAGAGGTGTCAGATACAATTTTGTCATCACTGCAACACATGCGGCCTTCGAATTGACACGAACTCGATCACGAAATCTCTCCGTTCTTTGCGGCAGATGCGTCGAAAGGCTCAGGAAAGGATAACTCGATGGTTCGCACCGGCTC